ATTTCCGAGCAAGACCTAAGGGTCTTGAGGTCAATCACACACGGCCTTTTGCTTAGTAGTAACTGATGTGTTAACACCACACTTTAAATGTATAAAAGATGAAAATCTGTGTTGCAATCTAATGTATGCTACTTTTAAGACAAACGTTTTCTAACTTCCTACTTCCGTTGCATAAAGGCAGAATCACTGAATATCACAGTTGCTTGATGGAATCACCCTGATGTTGTCACACTCTCGGGTCTTAAGTTGCAACCTTTAATTCCATTCTTCTCCAAACAACCTGCCTGGTATAATAGGACCAGAAGAAAAAAGCGTCCTAGCCCATATGGCTAGATTAGGTGGCCATGTTATCTAAATCAGACTCTCACATTAATGTAACGGCTACGATTATGCCACAGTAGGAATGCTCACTATAAAGGAGTCTCTATGTGGACAAAATAGTTCTACACTGCTCTATTATTACCAGTAATTCATAGTAAAAATAAAAACTGAACAATCGAACAAATAAATCAAAGCAATATTCGATTGGAGATGATTAAAATAAGCAAAAAATCCACAAGCAAACGGATAAACTAATCTTTGAAACTTTATACTAAGAAATTCTCTTTCTAGTCATTAACAATAATATTCAAAAAATCATGGCGTATTTCAAAAGATTCCTTACTTTCAAATAGTTAATTCATTAATCTCAAGAGTATATTATTAGTCAAACAGGTTCAAAACTGAATCATGTAATATTTAATGGAGAGTATTTTGTCTAAACAAAACAAAAACAAATTTATTCTCATACCTAATATATGTCTGCCTATTTAATACTCTCTAATTTTCTAATAAATACCATTCATAATACTTGGAAACAATATTAAACTGTTTACATTAGATTTCTCTTTTAATCAACAGTTGACATTATTTATATGTGAAAGTAATTTTTAATGAAATAATAATAATAATTTTGGTTAGAAATAAAATGTAGGTCTCAAATAGATTGAATGAATTACATTGTGAACTAAAAAGAAATTCATTCTTTGTCGCTCAACATTTTCTGTTTATAAAATATTTTAATCATATGATGAGAATCTAATCAGATGATTTTTTTTTACTTTAAAAAGAAATAATAATAAACCGACATTTAAGACATTGATGGCGTAGAACTATTGACAAAACTGAATATAGTCTAGTTACTTTTAATTTTTGTATTTAAGATATTGTAAACATTTTAAGTAGTATGTTCTAACCTGTAATTAAAGTTTGAGTATTTGATAATATAAATATTATCAATTTTTTTTACGTAACTTAAACAATATAAGTGATTAATAGTTTCTCAGTCATTTTGTAGCACTGCACTCAATGTTACCTAATGCTGAATGATTTGTCTGTAAGAACTGGAGCTCGGAGAAAAATATCACTATAATTAGACTCATTATATCAGTTGTAATTATTTATTATTATATCACAAAAAGAACTGAAACTTATCTCTTACTTATAATACGACTTTTACAACAATATTTACAACAAATATTTTTAACTGTATTCATTCCCTTTATTGTTTAGCGATAACTTTATTACTCACAAGTGAAAACGGCATCACAGATTAACAGTTCTAAAACAAGTGTATTTGTGAAAATATTCTCATGTTCTAGATTCACAAATGTTTTTCAGCAAAACGTCTTGAATATTGAAATATATGTGCCTATATCTGTAGTTAATAACCTAAATTGAATACTGTTATTATTAATAACATGGTATGAATAATAATTACATAGCAGACAACTTTAAAAATATGGTTTCACAATGAGTACACTTGCTGATGAACCAAAATAAACGGTAAATAAACAAACAAATTAATTATTTCACTGCTGTTGTCAAATTTAACCTCACTTAATATTTACCATATTTCCTATGATCATGTTTAACAACTAGAATGCGAAGCTTCTTGTAGATTGTCAGGTATCAAGATAGGTTAAACCACAAACTAACTTTAGTCAGATAATCATCTAAAATAAATAGGTATTAGGTAGCCTTTTCATTACAGTATGAAGTTCCTCTGAAATCCACACATAAAAACTTCAAGTGAATCAAACCTAGGACCCGTAAGATTTGCAATAAATGTGTAACCTCGAAACCAAGAGGTTGCAATCACATCAGACGTGATAAAGATATTACTGATAGTAAAAGATGACTCAAACTGTGAATTAAATGATTTCATCATATGGTCTGAACGTTCTGTGTTTGACTTCCGCCTTGACCTCTGGAAGGTCGTCTAGCCTAAATTAGTCCACGGTAGATACTACCTTTATATTATTTACTCCTTGAATAAGAATAAGTATGTACATAGATGACTAAAAAATTCGATTGCAAGTTTATTTAAAAAATATATTTGTCAGATGAGTGCAAATTCATAACAATAGGTAACAGTAAGATCCACAATGTTTTGTCCAAACTATCAAAAAGATGATAATGAGAACGTCAATACATATATTTAATAATGTATTCTGTTATCGGATTAAATTAACTGAAACTAAACATGTCAACTACTGGATGCCGACTCAGTGAACTAAAGGTTCCACGAGATCCAAAAGTTTTGAGTTTGCTCCTCTTCAAGGTTTTGGATTCGCACAGCTGTATCTCACACAATAACAAAACTGCTACCCAGTGCTTCCTGATTTCCAGTGGTCATATAACCTGGATCAGTTCGTGACATCAGTTACAAAAAGCAAATATAACTTAGTCAATAATGTTCTTTTTTCTAACTGATAACAAGCAGCTGATTAGAAGTGTGCATAACTTTAAAAACTGCTTGTTGAACTAAACAAGCATAGTGAGGCTGACTTAAGCAGTTCTCTAGAACTATGAAAAGCACTTAAAGTATAAACTGTAGTTATTATATGACAGTTGCTGCATATTATATTATCTCATGTGTGTTTACTACTTTTGTTAATCATAAACGAGAGGTTAAAAACGGCAATGGATTTGTAAAAACAAAACTTAAACATAAGAATTCTACTTGGATGTGGACGCCCACATAATTGAATTTACTATAATAACAACATAGCTATCTAATAGATATCTTAAATGTAAAAAAACTTAATAAGCCTCCATACTTTCGTTAGAAATAGGATATAAAGAGTATTAAATGTCACTGAATCACGTTCTTTTTGGAACTGAGCCTAATTTTTAAATGGTTAAATATTCACTTGGAATCTTAAACGCAAAAGAAAAAGAAGCAGATCAAAATACACATTGCGCAAGGAATAAAGGTTAGACATAGAAAAAATGAATAGCACTCGGGAACGACTAAGAATAAAAACCCAGGACACAGTTGGCTGGAGAACTCTGGTCGGCGGCCAATGCTCCACTAAGGGCAACAGGCGTAAGCAAGTAAATACTCACTAGTGATTGACTTTTCAATATACAAAGACTTTATTTAGTATGAACAGCACCCTGCTACTAATTTTGTCAAAACATTATAAGTCCATACCGAGGCAGTCCAGTAATCAAGGCAAATTTGTTGAATAAGTTACTGTATAACATGTTACTCCATGGCCGAAGATACTAGAAGAATCAAGATAGATGGAGTTTAGTTCAAACCACATAGCCGGTGATTAAAAACCAAGTGCTTTACTTACTGAGCTACGACACCACAGGACACTGTAAACGATGAAAACAAGAAAATAGATTTTAAAAATATCCAAAAGATAAGTCAACGAACCCTAAGTGCTTCAGGGGAATACCAACGAAATTGACGTCTCGAAACTATTAGCGACGTATCATCCCAAGCGAATATATAACTCCATGAAGATACATATAAACACTAAACAATTCGAATCCTCATCTTGCTTCATTCCTTAGTATTATAAATTTTTTTACGCATCATACACGATCAGATTTTTATGCTAAAACAGATGTTCGTTGCAGTCTAAACATTATCAAGTTACCTGTCCTAACAGAATCAAACTTATAGAAACATCTACGCCTTACAACATATAGATGGAACATATCAAAGATTCAAATAAAGTTCGTTAAATTAAACTTTAAACTAATAAATGAACTAAATTGATTTTGAATTCACGTTACTAAGTATTTTCTGACAAACCGAATTCATTTATGGTAATCGAAACATTTTGGTGGCTCTTTATCTGACTCCACTTAGACCGGACAAATAATCGTTATCGAATGATTTCTGTCGAAATATGTATCCTGACTGTTCTTGTATATTATCATCGACTTAACTCGCGTTAGTGTATAACGGGATTAAATAAGTCAAATACGAGAATGAATTTCGAATACGTGTATTTCATCCAGTTGTTGATCAGAACAAACAATCAGAGAGACAGAGCGAAGCGAAATGACACGCGGTGGAGAAGGCAGGTAAGCCAACTCCCATTTTTTGTAGTGCCTTAGCTTCGTTAATCAATCACCTTGATAACCATCATCATATAAATCCCACGGTATTTGAAATAAGAAGGCAATAAAAAGCGGTGACTACTGTTTATTAGAGGATAGCACAGGTCACAAAGCTACAAGCACATCGACAGAATTGGGAGCAGAGTAAAACTTATAGTCAAATCGAATAAGGGCACAGCAAGGCAAAGGCTATCAATCGGATCCGAGTACATACATATATGGGGAAGAGAATGACTCATCGAGTGATACCTAAGCAATCAACATTTAAGCTAGAGAGAGATGCGCGTAGGTTATCATATGATCAAGAGTACACGTTTGTACATATAAGATAGTGATCATAATAGTACAAAGAAATAGACGAATTGTTACTGTTTTAATAACATTGTCTGTTAAACAAGTTAATAAAAGAGCTTAACAAGAATTAATCATAGTCGAAATTGATTGTATGAGATCTACTGTATAGCATCTATCCTCAGACAGAACAAGCAGTTTACTATAATACCATAGACTGACTGAAGTTAAAGACTAAAAAAGCTATATATATATTAAAAATATCTATAAAGTTGCCTGAATAACATCAAAAGAAAACCGCTTACTTAAGATGTAACTGTTTTTCAATCTTTCTGTCGAATGCACTTGTTAATTGTCTACCATCTAAACGAAGTCGACTAGCAGCATCCAAACATCCACCAGGTAGGCAAACATATTCACGTAACCAGTATAGAACATGGTCAGTGTTCCAACAAAATGATGGCAATATGCAAACATCTGAAGCTATAGGATTTTTTGTCACATGAGTGTGCTGAATTAATTTATTAGGCAACTGATTTGTAGATATTTTAATAGGATTTCGATCAGAATTATTTAAAGGTTTGGATGATAACGTATCTGCTTTTTGAAAAAAAAAAGAAGTGAAGACCCAATTCGTTAACCATAATAGTTGTGAACATTTACTGATTATATATATAATAGTAATAAGTTATCATGTTGAACACAATTATATTTCCTCATTACGATTATTACTTAAACTGATTCCATAGTTGAAACAAATTACAACAGAAATTGGGTACTACAGGTCGGTCCCATTAAACCTCAATGAATCTCAAATACTTGAAACCTAAATCATTTTTTATCCTAATTTCTGAAAAAGAGTAAAAAATCAAGACATATTTCGAGAATTAGAAATAGGAAACCCTCAATATAATAAGTGCTATGACATAACTGTACGCTTCACACTAATGAAAGTATCTCATATCTATCCAAGATTCATTGTTAATGGAAAATATTTTGAGGTTTTTTTTTATAATATCATCAGTGTTAATGCATGAAATTATATTCGATAATTCTATCAGCTGATTAGGATATTAATAAGAATGCTACGCTTTAACTAGCCACAGGAAAGTAGTGATTATTATATGATAATCTAATACTATCAGTCACAGTTTCACTGTACTCAAATAAATAACCAAAGTCACGTCAGATGTTTTCTGTATACAGTATCGGATAATTGAAAGTAACTGATTATGAACCTTAAAATTAGTTCTTGATATGTTTTGCCTGTTGGCTAGTATTATCACAAAACAGACTGGTTGAATTTAGCTACCTCAGTGTACTAGATGAAGCATACAATAAGTTTTTGTCTAGTAACACATTTGTGTTCTTGGTGGCATTTGTTGAAGCTTAAATGATTTCATAATAAAACTATGACTCTGACTTACGAACAAACAAAACGTAGTTTCAGAAATTACTGCCCAAATAAACATGCTTATTTCGTTATGTTTACAAACAAGACGTTATCGAAACAGTAGAGAATGCTCCAGTATTGGAAAATTAGGTTATTCAGAATTTCAACAGATAGAACTTAATCATATCTTTCTCAAACTATCATCTGATACTTGGAAGTGATAATTAAGCCTAGGGGTAATACTGACTGGATAGTTAATATGTAGATAGGAAATATAAGACGTAATATTGAGTGATTATGAGAAAGTTAAGCAGATTGTTTATGAATGCCAAAATGAGCAAAACAATTTACGCCGATAACATTTCGTTTATAGAATGTCAATATTTGATGTCAGAAACAATTTTGATTAAAATTAATGTCATTTACATTTGCATCACACGACTAGATAAATGACGTATTAATAGTATGATATAAATATTTACTGAAAATATCCATGTAACCAAACATTATAAAATACAGGAATTCTCCAAAACATTTGAACAGTAGCATCTTACAAAGTATCAGTTAATCAAAAAAATCATCTGTAGTCTTGTGAACATTAAATAATAATTCAACCAATATTGAATAAATTAAGTATACCAATTTCTGAAGTCCGTATAATCGTTGCAAATAAATCCGGAAAGAATGATATAAATGAAAGTATTACTTCCTATTAAAGGCAAAGTTGAACTTTGGAAAAAAAATTGTTCTATGCGTTACATAATTACTACTTTATACCGTGTTATCAAGAGATTTTTTAAATTCAGCAAAATGAATCATTGGTTCTCAGTTTTCCTTACAAAAACAATAACAGATTTATAAAACTCATTTTATATTGTTCATTTGAATCGTCCCATTGATGCTTAAGACTACAAATGATAATAAAAAAATAAATTTAAACCTCACCCCATTGCCCAAGCTAGGGGCTATCAAGAATCAGTAGCTAAGTGGATAACACGATGGCATTTGAAGCGAACGAGACTGGGTTTGAGTCGAGGAGTGAACACTAACTCTGGGATGCATGTACATGCGGCTGACAAGTCCGAAATACAACGAGATGTGCTTCCTAGATTCCACTGCCAGCCACTATCCATCTTTGCTTATAAAATTTATAAAATGTTTGTGATCACCACGAGGGGTGAATATCCTGGATTCGGTTAATAGTTACGTCCTGAGTAAATTACGAATATCTTCAGATTTATGTAACGTTAAGCGTGTAGTTCGATGAATATAGGCAAAGTTACTCATGTGGTTTTAAAGAAAATAATATAACCAAAAGTGGAGTGATATCGGGTTGGCTCTCCCTTGATTTTTCATTTACCTTCCCATTAGTCCCACTGTCTAGACTAAAAGTTTGTAAACCTACGAAATATTTAATACGTAACTAAATAAATATGATTATAACTATAAAACAGTCAAAGTAGAAGTATTTTATAGCCTATTTTTGAAAGCGATGACTATTAATAAAGCAAAATAACTGATATGGAATAGACAAGGGCTATGGCATAATTTAAGTACACTAACGCATTAAGTTATAAAACTGTATAAGTAAACGTTTTTACTTAAAAAACTAAACGTAAAGAAAACATAGAAATGAACTTAGCGTATTCAACTAAATTAAAATATTTAACAATCATGTTCAGTGTCTCAGTTTTATTTGCAGTGGAAACCTACGTGGTTTTCGATACAAACAGAAGGCCAGGGAGGAAGTATTATCCACCAATTGTATGTGGAAATAGTTCACGTTTAAATAGTAATGATAAATGTTTTTTCTTCATTTTCGACACTATAACTCAAAAAAGTGGCTTATATTTGGAAATAATCTATAATTTTCACCCACTTGAAATGACTAGACAATTATAATTGATAAAAAATACCAAAATGGTGAAATAGTTCATACTGTATTTTTTAACGTCTCCTACATGTAAACTGATTAATTATCGTTTAAAATGTACCAATATATAAAAACGTAGATGTAGAAGATTGTCTCAATTATGAAGTATGTATCAGCATACTACTTATTAACTTAATTATTCATTTGATGGTATATATATATATATATAATTATTCACATTGTGTAATTTGACTCGGTGACAATTTTCCTATTAGGCCGATAGCTTATTTAACTTCCATTTCAATACATAGGAGTATTAAATAATGTTGATAAATATTCCTTATAAAATGAAAAACAAAACAGATTACCAAGAGATAAAAATTAATGTTCTTTGACAATAAAATAGAAAACTATAAGGGACTTTTTTAAAAAACCTATCTGAATAACTCCTATTCTCTATATTTACTCAAAATACCTTTTTCATAAAATATATTATAATTCATTTTTAATTATCAATAAGAGCTATATGAGAAATGACTGCTGTAGAGAAATAGTGCGTGTTCTAAATGCGGCTCGCCAACATTTTAGAGGCTAGTATCCTCTATATCTGACTACAATAAATAGTATCCCGTTGACTAAGTATTTAATGCAGGCTAAACATCCTAGTAGAATCATGGATTTACTTGAGATTATTCAAAAGCCCGAACACTAAAAATAGAGACAGTTTATTGTTAAGATTGGTAAAATCCGCAATTGTACACGAAGCAAGCACACAGGGAAAACAAGAGTGTGTACGTATGAGTGTGAGTGTTAAAAATCCATATATATTTTCGAGTGTTAATCAAGTATGGATAAATTATTGATTATCTGTGTATTACAACCAATGGGAGAATAGATTAAAAATTGACATATGCTCAATCAGACTCACACAGAAAATTACATGGTGGATCAAGTAACTAAATTACAGTGAACAGATAAATAATACTGTAGTGGAATGTGTTTACTACATTGCACATAATTATGTTTCTAAGAGGATGAAATAATATATACTTCATCTTCTTAATAAAGATATTTTAACTCATTAACTTAAGATTGAGTAGTATTTGCTAATTACAGTAACTTCTTGATCACTTACTAAGTCTTTTATACAATGCTATACATTAAAACAAAACGAAATTCTTATAACTAAATCTTAAAATAAACTACTGTTGTTGTCTAAAATTATAGTGATTTTATCTAACAGGAAATAAAATTTATTATCTTGATGGTAAAATTTCTTAGACAGAATGGTTGTATGACAAACAAGATATTTTAATTTTAGTAGGTTTGCAAAAGTGAAATGGAAATACGATGATAAATGAACTTGTCCCTTAATTTCTAATTGACAATGTCAAAATGATACAACTTTTAGTTTGTATGTAAAACTGGACTTCGAAAGATTATTTTAAAAAAAAGGATGAATCGCACTCATAAAATACCGGGAGATAGTAGAGTCATGGAGTTGTATATTACATTCAAACGATGTTGTAAACTGTATTGGATTAAGATCATGAACCGACTGGTGTTAGACCACCATTGAAGGTTTGGAAGCACTGGACGGCCGTTCCGTCCCGTTGTGGGTTTCCTCAGCAGTGCGCATCCATGATCCCGCCCGCATGATTCGAACCCAGTGAGATGCGCACAATAGTTCCACAATAAGAAGAAACAGCCATTCAGTGCTTCCAGGTTTTCAATGGTGGTCTAAAATCAATCGGTTCATGATCTCAATCAAAAAATTAGTAATTTCCACAACCCTATACTGATAAACTGTATTAGTTCACTTTTAATTATTTGGAGATAAATATCAGCATATGCTTTATTCAGTAAGTGAAAATACTAATGAGCTCAAATACAACTTCCATCTGGACACAGTGTTTACAAATAAGGTATTAGCCATATAATTAACTGTTGTAAGGCTAAATTGGTTGATTCGTTTGAATCGAAAAGAGAACAAAACAGCTTCATACATAACAAACGATGCAAAGACCATTTTTAAAGCTGTATGACTGACTACGACTAATATGAAACAGTTTCAGTAGGTGAGTAGACACTAATTAAACAAGCCTGAATGACACTCAAACATAAGTAAAGGAATTTATCATAAGGAAAAACTTTCAGGATACATCATGGGGCATTAATTAAATTCTATTTTCACAGACAAATTGTAAACGTTATGAATTTCATTAAGGCTTTGCACGTATATAACTTTTCGAAATGAATTCATTAGGGTCATTGAGAGTACTGAAACGTAAACAATGATATAAAATTTAAGAAGTTTTCAAACTTATCTGA